GTGGTGGTGGTGGTGGTGGAGGAGGAGGAGGAGGCGGCGGCAGCGACGGCCGGCCGGTTGCCCGGTCGGTTGGTGGGCGGGTCCCTCCCAGCGTCTCGGGTCGGAGCGTCGATCAGAGGTGGCGTGGAGTCGCGTCGGTGGAGGGGGCCCGCGCCCCCGGGACGGACCACGCGAACACCGCCGCAGTCGCGGACGAAGCTGGGTCGGCCCACGGGCTCCCCCTCCTTCCGTGACAGCGAGTGGGCGGCGCAGGGTCAGGTGGATTTCGCGCCTCGCCCCCGGGCACGTGGGTTGGAAGTCGGGACCCCCGTCACTGCAGTGGGGGAGTGAGCGTCAAGTATTTAAGCAGAGAGAGTCAAATAACGAGTTATGTTGGGGATGGTTTTTCTTGAAGATAGCTTTAGTAAGGAGCGCTAGTGTACGCTTCCTCTGATTGAATGAGAAGTCGCCCCCCCCCTCCTCTTTCCTCCATACTGTTTGAGCTGTGTGGGGTCGCTTCAGAATCATTGTCACAGCATATATTCTGCTATAGATGCACTTCTGCAAGCATTCTGTAATACGACACGAAGATTAACAATTAGCGGGTTTCATAGTGCGGAAGTACACTATTAAAGCGGAAAATGAAATTAGAACATAGATGTACGTATGTACTGTTTCCAAGGTACCTAATTCAAGCTCCAGCTTTTCACTTTCACCTAGTTTTAAAACTAGGGCTCTACACTTTCTTCATGATCTTGAATTTCGATTTTATTTCTACAGGGATATTATGCGAACCATACTAAAGGTGAACAAAATCGGTCGGTATGAATACAATAACTGAGTGTTCTAACAAGGAATTCTAGATTTTAATCCCATGAACACTTTGTGATTTTATTGTCGTTCATGTTTTTCGTGTTTTCCTTTTTTTGACAAATCTAAAATGAATGGAGAACCTTTTCTGAGAATTCTGATCATTTGATCATTCTGTAATTTGCGGTTTCTTTGTCCAGTGAAATAATTCCTTTAAAGGAGATGTGCACGTCTAGACAGATAAATGATAAATCTAGAGTACTATTTATTGCTAAGTCGAAACTGGTACATCTGATATTAAATATACTGGTATTTTGATATGGCGGATAATCTTGGTAAATACTCGTAAACTGAGCCGTTGATGCTAATATTTCCCGATGTAGATTTTACACACATAAGTGTGGTTCAAATCTGGACCTAATGAAAGACGTCATGGTTTGTGCTACCGTACACGAAACTCGCAGATTTGCGGCTGCTCGTTTCTGGTATCAGCGCAAAGCTCGTTATACAACCCACGAAATACAGGAGTTACACACCTACGAGTGAGTGAGATCGACTTGCGGCTCTGCGTTCCTAGATGAATTTAGAAGTTATAGAACCTGTTGTTGGGTACTAGAATTAATGAATATTCGTTTTAACGATTTTTTGAACTAATTTTATACTTATAAAATGCCTATAAATATTTAAGAGTATTACTGTTTACGGAAATTATTTTTCGGCATGAATGCACTGAAGTACGGAAAA